GGACACAAGGAATTACATAGCTACAGCCACTCTTGCTGTAAATCCTGCAGCAGACACTGAGTTAATCTGAGTTTGAGGTATTGGTTACACAAAACAGTTACAGTTTAATTGTTTTCCTTCAAAGTGTAAGCTTCCAATTTAAGCTTGACAATTGCCAGCTGTGACATAGAAAGATTACTTGGGTGCGTTAGCAAATGTATATCACATTGCTGTAGGGCAAGATGAAAAARCAGTGCTCTTTAGATCTTGCATGCTGTGAGTAGTCCAAAGTGATGYTAAAGTTAACTCCAACAATAACTGCTGTACTAAGAAACTGAACAGGGAATGCTCAGCCMCGTTGACAGTCTACTGCATTTTCAGACAAATTTTAGCTATTATTTTCTGCTGTGAAGATATTATCTTTTTGCCAAATGATGGACAGGTTTGCACATTAAAATTAAACAACTCCASTCTCTTGGCAAAATCAGATATATTGCCTGATTTTTCTTAGTAAAGTCACATTTTCATTGTTAGAATGACAGAYCTTCACTTGCAAAGATCTCCGTTTTTTGCCAGGTTTTGCCCAGAAAAAAACAGCTATTTTTCCATCTGCAAATAATGACATTTTGTATAAGCAGGATGTAGATCTTAGTACAGGAAGAGCACTTGTTTCATTCCAACCCAGAGTGTTTGCATGATACCTCTATCATTCAGATCCACTTGTATGTGATACCTGTATCATATTGCTGTTTTGTGGGATGGTTCCCAGTTACACTGGAATATTGCCTCTGTAAATTTGTCAAGGCTGGTCATATTTAAGGATTCTTCTGTTAATCAAGGACGTTCTTCTGTTAATCTGCAGCCTTCAGGATCATCTACATTAAGTATGAAATCCCAGCTATACTGAACTTACAGACTTCCCATTACGCCTTGCTTAAATCCATATAAATGGATGTTCCTCTGTACAGGGATGAAAGAAAGCCTTGCAGAAGAACAACATCTGTACAAAACACACCTAGGAGACTGAAAAACTATGTAGTTCCTCATCACTAAGGTTATTGGTGCTAGCTGTAGTAGCACCACAAATATATTTTCCCCAACATTCAGTCATCAGACTCATTATTGTAGAGAAGGCCTATAGCTGAGAGCTTTCAAACTGCGCTGCAAATTGTAGGATCACTCAGAACAGATTGAACACCTYATATAGCTATATAAGCACAGAAACATACTAAAGGACTCAGGTATTTTCCATTCCAGCAGAGTTTTCTTCAGAKTTAATGTCAGCTAAATCACAATACAACACCTTAGACCATTATAAAATGGATTTGAAACATTGCTCTCCGTGTGCCACAGAAACCGCCAGGTACCACAACCCCATCGCCTCAGCCTGGCTGAGGGGCCGGGGCTGCTATGTCCCCACACAGAATTATTCCACTTTACTTCCCTCACACAGGGCTCACACAGAGCCCCAAGGACAAGGCAGGATTCTAAGGAAAGAGAGAAGGGGCCGTACCGGCAGTGAGGGAGCCCAGGGAGGGCTGGTCTTTGGCTGGAGTTTGATACCGCCGTGGGTGAGGCCCAGGGGGCCRTGAGGGGTATGGGGCCAGCAGGTGAGGCAAGGGGCTGCGCCCAGCGCGGGAATCAGCAAATAACACGGGGGAAAACCCGAAAAAAAGCGGCTCCGCTCCTCTCGCACGTTCCTGCGCCTGACCTGAGGCCTTGTGAACGGATCGGGACTGGCAGCACGACATGCCGCTCGCAGCTGTGCGCTCCAACGCCGCTGCAGCGCCGGCCCGGCCGGGCACGGCAGGACAGGGCAAGGCAGGGAAAGGCAGGGCAGGGCAGGGCAGGGCCGGGTTGGGCAGGGCAGGGCAGGGCGTGTGGCGGGCTCCGTGCCCAGCCCCGCGCTCCAGACTCGAGGGGCCGGGTGGCTCCCGCAGCCCTCCCCGCYAAGGGGCCGCTCGCTTCCCTGCGTCCCCTTGGAGCGGCTGCGAGCCCTTCGGCAGCCCAGCCCGCGGCTCCCGTGTGACACGGGCACAGGGGCACTGCCACCGGCCGGGAGCCGCGGGTACAGCTGCCCTCCGCAGGGCTGGCACCCTTACCTCAGCCCGTCCACGTCTGACTGCGCGGCAGCGTCCAGCTGCTGAAAGGTGAASCACTAGTTAGTTTTGCTCTAGCATTTCCCCAAATCAAACTGCTTCCAATAAAGGCGAAAGGCACGCATCAAATTTTTCCTTAAAATGTCTTTTATTTGCCTTTTTGAAATAGGGACTGAAAGTTKCTGCTACTGGCATTACTACAGACACATTTTCAGTGCAACCGCAGAAGAAATGAAAGGGCAGATTTAAGAAGGAATGAAGAAAAACTAAGAAAGTGATAAAATACAGTGCAGGTGGGAAAGTGAAGATGTAATTTTGTGTAGCTGTTCTCAGTGTCTCTTTTCTATTTCTATAACCTGTGGAAGTTCTGTTATAGCTGGTTAGGAAATCATCAGGTTAGTCTTGGAAAAAATATTTAACACTGTGTCTTGGAAACACTGCACTCATTAAAACAACCATCAYTGACAAAAAAGGATAAATTAGTAAGATAAAATACCAAATAACCAYTTTGCAGTGAAAAGAGAAATTACTTTTGTCAGATTCTGGAGTTTTCTGTCATATTCATCACTTGGAGAGGGAGAGAAACTAAAATCTGCTTTCGGAAATTCAGAAATAGAAAAATGCTTTTTATAGCTRAATACAGCTCTTGCATTTGTTGAAAGAAAAGTTACTTTGATATTTGTTGCTAAATAAAATCTTGGATCAAGTGAACTTAATTAAAAAAATTAGTTAAGGCAACAATAAACACAGGAAATATATATGAATAAAGTGTTCTAAAAGTCAGGCAACTCTTTTAAGACTAAAAATATCACCTAAGCAAGGCCACTATAATTAGCAAAGGGTGAACAAAAGAAGACATCCAGAAATAGATGGGGAGGGGGGTGGCTGGGAGGATGAAATGTCTTGGTTAACCTTATTTGAGTGTTCTTTCCATAGCATAGGAAATGGTTCCAGCTAGCTCATGAGTTCTGTTGGTATTAACTGATTTTAAAAGGACATTTCCATGTTGTCTGTATGCCAAGGAAATTCTTTTACTGGCGTGTTTGCTGAGTACAGGAAGCATCACCCTGACTAAGTGACACTGAATGTGACAAAGAATTGTATCTTTATTCTGRTGTTATAGTCAACACGGTCTCTTTGTTTCAGCTGGATTCCTTCTGGTATTTATTGGGGAATACTTACTGCAGTCTCCCAGTTTGTCCTGAGTAATGAGCAAACTGGTGCTGCTGAGTCATAATCCCTCACCACTCAAGAGGCAGYTTTCTGCATCCCTTAGGCAACTGATTAGTCTGAGGGGTGATCCAGCACATTAGGGGACAGGGCTGTCTAGTCACACACTAATCTGCTTCATCCCTCTTCAAGGTGTGGAAAAGACTAACAGTGATGGGAACCTTCCTCATCTCCATGCTATGGCCAGAATTCACTGTGCAAAGAGATAAATGTCTACCTATAATTGCTTGCTCTCCTAAATAGACAGCTGGTGAAATCAGTCTTGTATATAGTATTTTTCAGTAAAAGTCAGGCTGTGTTTATGGACCCAGTCTTGTACTGCTTTACTGAAAAAGCTTTACTGAAAGCAATGAGAATTTTGTCTGAATAAGAAGTGCAAGTTAAGATCTTGAATACTTTCRATTCAACATTTCCATTTTCACTTACAGTATTTGCCAGTTTCCTGTTTTCTTCTGTAAAGCTGCCTGTGTCAAGCATTAAGTTTCATTTGCTACACGTTACTTCTAAATGCCCTAATCGTTATCTATTTTCTTTTCCTCTCTCTTTCTTGGGAATCGTGCTAGTACCATGGCCACTACATAGCCAGCAGTAACTACAATTRTTTGTGGCTCGGGATTCCACTGACCTTTTCCTTCAGTCAGTGGTTTCAGTGACAAGCCCTTAAAATCTTCATGCACCCATGAAAAYATTTGAGAAAAAGGTTCATAATGTGTAGGTCATACAGGCCAGCAGTCACCATACTGCTGTTTCTGGAGCTCAGTAAAAATCACAATAAAACCACAAAGATATTYAATCCTAAATATTAACTTTCCTTCAGGTAACAGCAAAAACATGCAGAAAGAATAACAAATGACAATTGCCCAAAGTTTCTGCTTCTGCTCCCATTTGTCTGTGCAGTGCTTTTAGGGCATAACAATCCTGTCCTTTGAATTGTGGGAGGTGGCAGGGATGTAGCAGACTGGCTGCTGGAAGACATGAGACTAAATCAGGTGGTGGTGCAAATCATCTAGTGTGGAACTGCAAGCCAAGACTCACATGTAGCTCATGCCCAGGTCTCTATAGCATAAAACAATTACAGTTSCTTTTTTAATAATTCCACAGTCACTGATGTACCTTCTATCTACAYATGGAGAGAAGAGCAGGAGATAGAAAGCCAGCTGCTCACAAATACTACTGCAGTATTTTTTGGGTCAGTACGTATCTCTGATTCTGTGATATCATACTCARGAGAAACAAGAACAGGCAATTTTCTGCATTTGAGGCCAAGACTTAGATTGTCCTAACATGATCTGAATATTTGCCATATTGCTAAGATTCTACCTAGCTTTTCAAGTCTTTGAGAAATCCAAAATTGCTGTAAGGAGTAGCACTGCCTTTCTGATGCAGGACTTGAAAATAATGGTMCTTGTTTATAGTACAGTGAATAAAGAGCAAGAATATTAACAACAGCAACAACAGTAATAGCTTGAAGTAGAAATAAACACATGGCAATTGCTTTACGTTGGTTTGGACCTGTCATTCCCAAGAGAGGGTCTCATTTGGCAAGTGTGGTCAAGGACAATGCTGTCTCCTGACTAGGAATGAACTTTCAGGGAGAGTGTTCCCAGTAGGAAGGGTTAGACCTCAAAGCGAGTATTTACATGAGTAGCTCATTTGGTAACGTTGAACCACATTTATTTTTAATTTGCATGCCTCTCCTTTAAGTCATACCCTTCTCCTCTTGACTTCAGTGGGAGCTCCACATGTTTTGCCTTTGATTCTGCTGCATGCTGGCAACTCTAATTAGTGTTAACAGGAGTTTCAGTGGAGTTTCTTGCTCTCCTTCTTTCTCTGTAAAAGAGTTTACATGAGTTGGAGCTTTATCAAACTGGTATATGGTGCCTGTCAAGAATGTATCTTCATTTCTTCTTTTTCCCTGCCAAAGCAGAACTTAACCTTTTTTAACAATGGTGGCATAACAATGAGAAAAATGACAGTTCATTATAACAAGCTCCCCTTAATTTTGAAAATATTGCTTAATATTGTGTTTGATTTTTTTAACCATAGTAATTTCAGCTAAATAGCACAGCCTTATTGTCTAAGTTGCTATCATAGTAACTTGGTGYAGCAGACATGAGTTAGAACAGCTCAGTTCTCTAGGACTAGAACCTGCAACTCAAACTAAACCTCAGTCTGCTCTGCCCTACAGAAAGTGCTTTGAATTTCAGAGATATTTTATACAGGGGCATGATCCTGCATATTGAGCAAGGCTGGGAGAATCCAGTCCCTTTTGCAATGCTGCTGRTTTTATTAAAAATAAATACCCCCCACCAAACTCTCACCATCAAACATCGTATCTTGAAAACAGAAACACTATTCCATTTTGAGATTTTAATCTCAGACTTTGATACTCACACRTATGGACAGACACAATGAACAGAAGTCACTCTTCTCCTTCATAAGAACTGTCGCATGTGGCTTTCTGTGCTCACATCATCCTCCTTGCAATATTTCAAAAGACACACAACTTCCCAGCATGATGATAAAGTTTTCCTGTGTTCCAATAATAAAAGTTGAATGCACCAGTAATTTCCAGTTCCTCTGCGGTTGGGCAGCCTGTGAAGACTAAATCAGAGGTAGCCAACCTGCAGTATCAGTGTGGGAGTCGGAAACAGATGTTCACCGGACAATACAATTTGTTGTCACTGTCGATACTGTATGGCACTTTTCCCAACAGAAATTGTCTGTGGCTGGAAAGGAATGTAAAGAATGAGTCATGCCCCAAATTATTATTATTATTTGTTAAATTACTGTTAATGTTWAATACGCCTTGCTTTATTTTAAGTGGCTGAATCAGGGAGGCACAGGCATTCAAAAATACAATTAACTGGGCTTGTAGTATCTATGTACTGTGTCAACCAATTAATTTAAGGCTTTTTCCTCAAGACAAGGCATTCTGTTWTATTAAAACCAAAAGTCAAATTCTCTTCTTTAGAATCAGGGTAATTTAGCCTTCAAAGTTATAAAATATTTGCTCAGTAGCTATTTATGCAAAAAGCACATGGCAGGAGGTAAATGAGACAAATCATTTCATGCATATCTGAGTATGTATCTATGAAAATTAAAATTTATTATATCCATATAATGGTATTTTTGTACATATAATAACATTTTAAAGTAGCTTATGTCTTGGAAATTCTAATAGGACATTTGGGCATTCAAAACTGATCCAACACTCAAATGAGCAAAATCCTCTATTAGCATATGATAGTAGCATATGATGCCTAGCCTTGATTTCCAGATTTCATGAATATTACAAAAGCAGATGCACTAGATCATACTTACTGTAAAAGGCAATGGATTGGGTTAGGTGCTTTTTAAATTAAATATTAATTTTTGCAGAGATACATCAAATATATTTTTTAAATGCAGAAACCCTAAATAAAACCCAGCCTAAATTCAACTTAATATATTCAGTAGGAGTGTAAAAGAGAGCTAAAGATCTGACTGCCAGAAAACTTGCTTATAACACCTATATTTTACATGAAAAAGTAACACTAGGTATTTTCAAAAATGAAGACATCTGGGATTTGACTTGGAGTTCACTGAAACTGGTGACAAAACTGACCTGTAATTGCTGACTCTTGTATCTCTGACAGAACTTTCTTTAGAGATATTAAAAAGAKAAAAATGTGTGTTTAATCACATGGCCCAAACAAAAGCAAAAGATTTTAGCATTGTAAAATCAAACAGCTGTCTCATTTTTACAAATGCATGTGGTAACACTTCACAGTAATCTTTTTGTAATACTAATTTTGCATTTACTGTGTTTACTGTTGCAGCAGTCTGCAATAGTGGTTTACTGCTGTACATCAGGTTTTAGTCAACGGGAAACATGAAATGATTTTCAGCTGTGCATTTCTTTGTAACTGCTTCACGACTGAGCCTCAAGACCTATCCATGGTCCAACTTTTTAAATGCTTTTAGATTTTGTGAATTTAGATAGATTTCCATAGTGGAACACTAGGTGACTTTGGGTAAGAACTTGAAATTCCACTGCAAAATTTTCCAAGTAGGCGTGAGATGAAGCAGGATGAAATAGCTGAGAAGGTAACATTTAGCACACTTGTAATCAATGTGCTGAATTTGTRTGTGCGTGTATGTCTGTATAAGTGTATTTTTATATACATTCATGGGTCAAACTGAGTTTTTMATCAACTAGATGTTGGCAAGTGCCAAAATGATTTAGGATTAGAATGGGATTTAGGCTGATCCAGCTACAGTTGTATTTCTCATTTCATCATCATACCAGGGATACTGTGACAGTTGTGGGTTTTCTTTAATTTATGAAATAAACAAAATTAAATGTCCATACCAGACATACCATTAAGTTAAAGGGAGTGAAAGAGAAACACTGCATTAGGACTTATTCTTTTGTCTGCACCCAGCAGAGAGTCCTGAATGTACAAAACAGCTGGGAAACYTCCTATGTAGCACACAGCTTGAAAAATTAATTCAAGTTGTTTTTTTTTTTTTCAAATCAATCTGATTTGGTTTATTTCAAATTATTCTTATTCTGATTCTGTAGTATCTCTCTTTCTAAAATATGAGTAGGTACAGAAATGTGTTATTTGGGTGCATTACATAATTTTTTAATACTAACTCTACTCTCATTTTTAGTTGAATCCCAATAAATATATTAGACTTTGAAGACTTCTATTGTAATATTAGAGACATCATGTGCTTATGCAAAGTTTTAGTACTACTTACAATTTCAAAAATTACTGAATTAAAATAGACCCGTTTGCAAATGTGACTAATCCAGCAATTTCAATTGCACTGCTTTTTATGTGTTTATCTGCTGAATGACACTTTGCTGTCTCTCCTTGTCAATATAATTGTCTTTCTTGAAAAAGAGGGGCTTCAGAAGGAGATAAATGTTGATGTTCAGGCCACAGGAAAGATTTCCACAGAGATGAGAGAAAGAGATTACTGAAATTAGCAGGAGCGCGTCCTGCCCGGCAGTGAGCAGAGTGAGCAGCACCGGGAAGAGAGGAAACCCTTGGCCACCACACAGCAAGGCTGTGTACACCAGAGTTAGTTAGAGTGCTCTGAATCTCATCTTTTGATCTCGGGCGATATTTTTCTCTGTTATGTCACAGAGGTCACCTGGCTCATGTGTGACAAACTGCCTGCATAAGTCACAGTGCCAGTGGCAGAGATTTGTAACCATGTCCCTGGTCCATTGCCTTTGAATTATTTCGCAGGCCCTCTGCTTTACATTTACACTCTGTCGGAAGATGAACAGGGGAAGGGAGTAAAATCAAGGGCAGGGTCTCATCCTGAAGGACAAGGGGAAACAGGTGGAAGGTTAATGGCCCTGGAGCGTATCCACAAGCCTCTCAGGCTTGATATATGGGCCTCAGGCCTAAAACGGGCATTGGCTTTCAAAGATATATTATTTCATTTGAGGAGAGACATTCTGGAGTTCCTGCATTTGTCTGCTGATAGATGATCCTCTGTCCACAATTGGTTATGGCGTGTGAGTTTTCCTTGGGCCTGCTCCCGTACATAAAAATTTTGCTGAGCTCTCCAACCTTTCGCATGCCTGTGAGAATGGGACGTGTGCGGGCCTTTTGGCAGGCGGCTGGATTTTTGTTGCTGCTATTTTCGTAGTTCCTTTTGAAGCACCAGGCAAGTGGGGGATGAAAGGCACTTCTGTTCATTCATACGCGGCTGGGCAGGGGCAGCCTGGCGGGGACGAAAATGGGGCAGAAGAAGATGTCAGGAACCCATTATGCACACGTGTGTCTGTAGCCCAGGTGGAAGTCACTCCTTCTGACCCCATATTTTATACCGGCACATGCCTGCAGAAAGATAAAAAGGGGGAAATAATTTGCTTAATTTTTATTACCTCCCTTAGTTTATTGCTTTACAGTTCTGTTAGGGTTTTTGCATGTATTCCAGCTTCTGGGAGAAAAACGAAGATAATAACTCCATATCTTATAATTGCATTTATTGGGTCCTTCTCCAGAACATTTACCTCAGGCACCTCATGAAAATGAGGATGCTACTGCCCACGTCTCAGCAAAGCAGCAGAGGCCTCAGAGCGGGTTTTGCTCAGTGCCACAGGACTGTGCAGCAGGCTGGGCACAGTGCTGGTGGAACGTGGCCCTGCCCCAGCTCAAAGGGGCACCTTRGCACACACGGAGGAGCCTGGTGGCAAAGGCCTTGCTTCAGAGAGGGAGCAAGTCCCAGATTCATTGCTACATTGGCATTCCTATTACATCTTCTGTCGTTGCATGACTACCATAAATTGTGGGAAAACCTGTTTAAAGACCGAAATGTTTAACAAAAAAACCCCAAAACMTTAATATATATTTTTATTTAACGTATCCTACATAATGGCTTGTTTAATTCTATTGSTTTCTACCTCACTGTAGTTATTGTTACAGGATTGTCTTTCGAAGACCTATTACTCCATGATTTAAGGAAAATGGGATGTATATTTTTACTATAGAAAATATACYTATTTAGATTTGTTTTAATAAAAAACGGTTCAGTTTCGCTGGATAGATTTTCCTTGAAAGAATTTGCATTAATTATACTTAAATATCTCCTAGTTCTACCTTTTTTTTATTTTTCCTATGCTACAAAAAAAGCTAAGTAAATGCAGGATATATGTCAGAAGTTTCAATGCRGTTTGTTTGCTTTGCTTTTGCTACAGTAAAACTTGTACTTACCTAAGTTGTAAAAGCATTATATTGGTACTATGTTGTTTGAGTAATTAMATTCTTCTTTTGCTRTCACTGAACTCATTTGCTGAACTCKCAGCACTCCAGTGTGAGCAAGATCAGGCTCGTTCTGCATTTCAGTCAGTTCCTGTAGAAAATGTGCTGGTGCAGTGCAATTATTCTTTCTTCCTTTAGTGTTCTGCAGAGTTTAAGTTAGACAAGTGAGCTAAGAACTTGAGAGATATTTAGTGTCTCCTGCAGCAGTAGGAAGGAAATCTAAGGACTTGTTAAAAGGTAAGATTTAGAAGCAGAAATTCTACAGAGAGAACTGAACAGAGTGTTAGCAGGCAGGAGAATCTGCTTTTCCACTTGTTGCTTTGATAACGGATAAAAGGCTGTCACGAACTGCAGGCTACCAGCTGGGAGCAGATAGAGTAATCCCAGCAGAGGGCTGGCCCCAAACTACACAGGCATTCTTTTAAATCTTTAAGACTGCAGGAAAATTGTTTTTCCCCTACCATTGTCATCATTATTCATGATGATGTTTTTCACCCTAGTTTAAAATGTTGGTCTAGTAAATCTACCTTACAATACTTTTCTGTTTGAAATATAAGCAAATATAAGCAAGTATCACTTAGTCAGAGATACTTCAGCTATTTCATTCAAATGCCTGGAGATTCTCAAAATAAATTCCAGAGAACTGGATCTGGAACTACTGTAAGAAATCTCTGTCATTTGATTGTAAAGGTATATTGTGCCCAACGTGCAGATAATCATAGGAACAATTTGTAACCTATGTCTTCCTTGTAATCAACACGCTTGATAAATGAAATGCAGAGGATGTGTTACTTGTAAGAGAATAGCAACAGAATGTCATTTGTTAGAAAGGAGCCCAAGTGACCCCTGCTCAGYACAAACACAGGCAAACACAGTGACAGAGCCTGGCAGCCCCATGCACGCAGAGCCGTGCGATGTGCATTGTGCCGCCAAGGTCATGTTACCAACATGCTTAGACACACATRGGGCTGGGCCAGGAGCATGTTACAGAGGCTTGGCAAGATGTGGGGTTTCAATCTGCATTATTGAGGAGAAAAAACAAAAATATTTAAGCCCTGGTTGTCATTCTATACTGTTCATTTTAATGATATGTGGAGGGGTCTAGCTTATTTTGTATTCTTATGTGTAATTACCCATATAAAAAACYACCACTCATTAGTGCTCTGTTCCACTGACTTAATTATACTCCTTAATTAAATCTTGACTAACTGGGGGTCACTGCAGTGTCAGTGGGATTTGTCACTGTTTGTCAGCAGGTGTCTGGTCACATCTATTTCTGGTTTCCCTGTTGCTGTATGCTGTTTAAGAGCATGGTCTTTGCTAAAWGCAAAGGACAATGATGCATTACTTTCTTGAGGTTTGTGACTTTAAGAAACATAAGTGAATCCATTCTCTAATACAAGCGCTCTCCCAATCCCAATGTTCAGGAGGTGGGGAATGTAGCAAGTGTAAACCAGAAAACACAGTTCATTACCTCACTTGTGCTCATTTTCAAAGGCTTATTATTCCTGCACTCAAAAGACAYCGTCTTATTAATTTATCAGATAATCTTCTGTTCAACAGGCATAAAAATATATTGCAAATATCAATCCAGAGATATTACTCCTTTTCCCTACCTCCTAAACATGAAATGAATTTGAAACATGACCAGCAAGAAYGAGCTAAATCAATATTACATGCATAACAAATACTACATGGCATGTGCTGCTATTGCCGTGCTGCTCAGAGTCAGAAGACCGAGGCTCCCGATTCAGTGTTCCCTGAATAATTCAGTGGGAGTTCTGCATGTGCAATAAGTGCATAATAGTGCCATTTCTGTCTGTTTCAAATTTGCATGTTTTGGGTTTGTTATTTGAGAAAGTTACTTAGGGGAAATATAATTCCCATGTTTACGCATATAATAGGCACCTAATGTTCATCTGAATAATTGATTAGTCAAGTCAGGCTTTCATAATTAGCTATTGGCTTTCCAGTATAAGCCCACAAAACACTTGTCAATCTACAGACATTTTTAATTTATTAATATATCTGTTATCAAAAGAGCTGCAGTAGTTACCTAGAAAGCATTTATTATTTATTCWGTCGAGGCTAAGGAAGCATTTAGATCCTAGACATGTATTTTGAATCTATTGTAACTTTCCCAGAAGATTTTTTTTTGCTCTGAAAGTTTTCAGAAATGTTCTCTGCCTGTAAGCTTTTGCTTACAGTGGAAATTGGAGTGGTTTTTTTTCAATCCATTCCTGCATTAGAAAAAAGCTAGTGGCATGTTTCACTGGCTATAAAATAATGTGTATTATTTATTGCATTCAGATACCTAACAAGCACTTGAATAAATGCCACTAGCAGATATCTCTAATGCAGTCACARATTCTGTGACAAGACAGATGCATCTGTTGATAGCACATAAGTGACACTGATGTTGCAATTAGGAGTTGCGGAGCTATATGTTAAATTGCAGAATTATAAGAAAAATTGTATTTATCATGAACTTCATGACCTTATTTGAACTCTACTACTCTTCCAGTTTTGCTTCCTCGTATTTCTGACCAATTTTCCAGTGGCTGTTTTTAAAGGGAAAAGACATACGCCTTACTTCAGAAGTACATTTTGAGCCCAGTGGTATGAAATTCATAAATCAAAATAATTGATTGTGAAATACAGAATGAAAATTTTTTATTTCTTACTAGAAGTATGGTAAAACAATTGGACTAGAAATTCTGTGRTTTACTTTATTGGGAAACAAACTTTACGTTTCCATTGGGAGGCAGCATTTACTTCTAGCGCTTGTTGAATGYGAGGCACTGAATTTTAAAAAGATAGTATTATTACTGTTTATGGAAAAGCTATTTCAGTTTTGTATATGCTATAAGTTTCCTTTCCCTTGGCCCTGTTCAGAAGAATCACCTTCATTTTAGTGAGAATATATAAGCATCAGCTTCCCCTCACTGAAGTCAGGACAATTGCTTTCCTGAATCCAAGTCCTTCTGAGGCTTGTACTGTTGGATATGTATTAAGTTTCTTGCTTTATAAGTGGAAATATAAAAATACTATACCAGGATTTAAAACCCCTTTTAGATCTAAACACTTCTATTATAGAATAGCTTTTTAATTTTTAGGGAAAGGAGACCTGATGTAAAATCCACAATATAGTGGCAGGAAAAAAGTCTGCCTATTTTGATGGTGAGATTTATTTAACTGTGGTTTACCACTATGAATTATGCGGCCTTACAGAATTCACATAAGATCTTGAGCAATAATGCAGCCTCTTGTGTACCRCACATATTCTGCATTTACTCTCAGTTTCTACTGGAAAATAGGAAAAATACTAGAATCATTCTCTTGAAGTTTGGTGACATACCTCCCATTGAAAAATGCAAACATATTTCTAAGGGTGTCATTATAAAGTTCCTCCTCCACAATATACCTTGTACTAATAGAACCTTCTGTTACCTATTTTTATATCCATTGCAAAGTAATCAAAAATTAAATGCTCGGTTGCAAAGATCATGATATCTCTGTAAGATTCAGAACCAAGTTTGCAACTGCTGTTATAGTTTTCTACATKACATTTGTACAATGTTATTATTTCAGTGTTATACCAATATAAGCATTTTCTGCTGGGATAACTTTAAGCATAGTAGTTTCTACCTGAAAAGTATTTATAATTTAGGCTGRTGTGCTAATTAAGGAACTGTCCAAGCATTGAAACATCCACATTCCCACTATTAATGTGCAGAGCTCTCACTGGTTTCCCTATCTATTACCGAGCTCAGAAACATTTCCCAGTGGCATCACATTGCTTGGCTCTTCCATTTAGACTCTGAAAGAACATTGTTTTYAGGAAGTGSTTTACAACTGGAAATAGATGTGTCTGCTAAACAGATTCATATTTGCATCATTAGACAGGTGATCTGATCAGGCAGAAGAGAGATCATATACATAAACAACGAGTTAAATCCTGAATAGGATTGCYAGGGCTGTTTTTCTAGGTTAAATGAGGGCCATTATGGGGGCTCTCTGATAAACTCACAAAGCTCTTATCTGAATAAACCTGATAGATCTGCCATTATTCTCAGTGACTAACAGAACTTATATCATTCCATTTCATTAAAAATGCATTAATCCTTTTTTA